AGGGTAGGTCAATGGGGGGGGTACCACATATATATATATGTATATATACACACATATATGTCTACATATACAGATAGATAGACAGATAGATAGATAGATCGACAGATAGATAGATGCAGAAATCACAGCACCTTAGGTATACATACATATATAGATAGATGTATGTATGTATGCATGCATGCATGCATGTATGAATATATATATATATATAGACAAACACATTTTTTTCCGAAGGGTGTTGGGTGTTTGTTGCTGCTTTGATGTGGGCTGCGCAGCGCTGGAACTCCCCCCCTGCGGAATTGCAACAACTCCCCATTCGCTGTAGCCAGATGCGAGATGTTGAACTATAGGCCCCTCAGGGCTCAAAACTTGTCGCGGCGTGGCCCCGAACCCGCAAAAACCGTCAGGTTCTGTCGACTCTTGCGGGTTGGAGCCGGGCGGAAGAGGCTGGCCTCCAAGAGAAAGGCACGCTGCAGCGCCTGGTCCAGCGTGCGAACGGCGTTGTTGGAATCCTGGCAGATAGGAACTTCGGGACTTGCGTGTGTCGACAGGCTCCAGAGCTCTGTCTGGGATTTGGATTCGGCTTCTCAAAGTGTTGAAAGCATTTACGGCTTGGGGACCCGGTTAATGGATACACCGATCGCTGGCTGTGCCGATCCGTGCCACCAAAGCGGTCCATCAGCACCAGCGGCAACTGGCAGCCGAGCGCATGGTCGAGTAGAGCCACCACACCTAAGTTCAGGCTCAGATCTCTCGGCAGCGGGACCAGCCTCCCACAGGCTTTTCGGGTTCGCGAGATTCCCAGAAAGACTCGGAGGGGCGTTCGACGAGTCGTGATGTAGTCTGAAATCAAGCCCCAGCCACCCAAGGCATGCAGCACATGGTCGACGTCCACGGAGCGGACGAAGACTGCCGCCAAGCCCTCTGTGCCGGTGCAGGGCCTCATGCATTCTTCAGGCTGCCCACCCTGGAGGAGGATCGGAAAACTTCTTTCAGACTTTTGGGACCCGCAAAGGGCAGTGAGCTGCTGGCCAGTTGATCTCGTTGAAAGCCAACTGTGAGCCAATTGGAATCTGCACAAGAGGGGGTAGGCTCACACGCACAACACCAAGAGTCCTGCTCTGCTTCCGCACTGCACAAACTAGAGCACTGCCGAAATCTCACCTCCTGCAGCTCGCCGGTGTCTGCATTCGTTGTCAGGCGGCGAGAGTTGCATTCCTTACCAAAACTCAGCGCAGGGAAGAGGCGCGCTTCAGGCGAAGCTTACCTGAGGGAGTGGGGGAGGTGCTGAGGTGCTTTTGGTCTTTTTGGCCATAGCTTGGCTCAAACCGCCGCGCTTCGATCAGGCGCTCGATCGTGACCAATGCAGAGGACCGCCCGTTGAGGAGCTCGCCCTGTCGAAGGCAGACCAGGACGTGAGGACCCAAAAGGACCCCCCAGAATTCCGGGCGCCTTGTGGTTGATGTTGAACTCTGTCTTCGCCATGTAGCCACTGGGCCAAATGAACCTGGCGGGGGCGGTCCGTCGATGAGGTCTTTAGACTCTTCGGCTCATGCAAGCTACCGGGAGTTGGACCATTGCTCAGGGTCGCGACACCAACCCCGAGAGACATCCGACCGACGAATCTTCTGAAAAGACGCGTCGGCTCAGACCGGAAAGTCCCGAAGCCGAAGGCTAAACCCTAGCGCGCGCGAACGTAGACTCAACAGTCTTGCCCCCTAAACCCTACAGTCCTATTGGTTCCCTGAAGTCCTCCGCCCTGAACCCTATAGCCTCAAACTCAACAGTCTAAAATCGCAAGCCCTGAACACCCTAAACCCAAAAAGTCCTATACATCCTTCCTGAAGCCGACAAAGCACGCATCGGACAGGTCCAACTTCGAGCGGTCCCAGACGAGGCCTGCACAGCTGGTGCCTGAGCTCCCACTGAAGGGGTCTCGGGTTTCGAAGGGTTCCTCTAAGGGGCTCCTGAAATACTCGAAGAGTTGCTTTAAGGGGTCCTATCCGGGCTCCTTTCAGAGTTCAGAACGTTCACTGGGTTCTTTGAACATGCTACCAGGGACTTTCAGCTGCCAAACACAACACTGCTATCGGCAAGGGCACTAGGTCGCCGGTTGGCTCAATAACACAGCGGAACAGAAACCCGTGGGCCCTCTCTCAGGGGATGAAGGCTGCTATCCCATCAATCCCGGCTGTGAATGAATCAACGACTCGACATTAGCCTTCGGGTCTCTTCGGGTCAGGAACACTAACACAGGCCTTTACTGCACGCTGGGATTGAGAACTTTGCAACGTTTGGGCCTTGGGGTTTGAAGTTCTGGGGATCAGCATGGGAAGCAGCGACTCACACCTGAAAGACTCTGAAAGACTCTACGAGTGAACAGTTGCAGAAGGTCAGTAAGGATTGACCCTAAAACCTGCACCAGCCCGTGCCGTGCCTCAAGACTTGAGAAATTCTCGATTGGGCCCCCTTGGTAACTGCATGCAGACGGGTTGCATTTTTCTCCGAACAGCCGCATGCCGACACCTGCAAAGAGTCCATGTCCAGCATCCGCAGCCCCATCCGACTCACGAACCCGGAATGACGTGACGAGAACCGTTGCAGTAACGCCCTCCAGTCTAGGCCGACTCGACCCGAACATAAGCACCATGCAAGTCCAACATCAATGTCACAAGGACCCATGGGCCGAACCTCTAAACTTAACTCTACCGCTTGAGGTTCCGGAGGCGGGGTTTACGGGGGCTGGGGCTTGGGAGGCGGGGGGGCCTCTGTGAGCCCCCGATCCCCGAATGCCTCCTTACCAGCTCGACTGCCCCGGTCCCTCCAAAAGTATATCCTTCCGGCTCCCTTGAAAAAGAAACCGGGACCCTGGGCCCTAAAAGGTGTTGACGAAACCCCAAAGCTCCAACCCTACAACCCCCAAGCTTTAAGGGTCTGGCACCTTGGCCGGTTCGGCTTGAACCCTAAACCCTAAACCCTAACTAAAACCCTAAACCCTAAAACCCTAACTCCTATAACCCTAAAACCCTAAACCGCAAACCCTAAATCCTGTAACCCTAAACCCTAAACCCTATAACCCTAAGGTGACCTCCGGGCGGCGGCAGCGAGGCCGAGGTCCGGAAGTTGCCCGCACGGAGGTTCGAGATCAGCTCCAGCCTCGGAGACCCCCCCGGTTGAGGGTTTAGGGGTTTGAGAGTTTAGGGGTTCAAGGGTTTAGGTTTAAGGGTTTAGGGGTTTAGGTTTTAGCTGTTTGAAATCATTGAACCAGGGGGCCTCTGGGTTTAGGGTTTAGGGTGCAGGGATTGGGTCTGTTGGTTCTCTCTTTCTTGGCTCGGGTTTTGTGTGTTGGGGGGTTTTGGTTTAAAGCTCCAGGCCTCTCAGCGTCTTAGCTTCGAGGGTGTTGGGTTCTTAGGTTCAGGGTCTGACGGCTTTAGGTTTAGTGTTTCGATGGGCATGACGCTTTCGGGTTTTGGGATGTGAAGTTACTTGGGGGTTCTGGTTGTCGCGCCAAGCTTTGGATCTTTACAGGCTCAGGCCTTCGGCGTGAGACATCTGCTCCCCGAGGTCCTGGCCAATCTGTGTTCCGCACAGTTTTGACCATGGCCTTTTGCTCGTCGAAGAGGTCCTTGTGCACTACACACATAATTCGAAAGGCTTTCGGATGTCAGTGTAATTGTAGTATCAGTATCAGGGCTTGAGTTTGCAGGGTTTGAAGTTTTAGGATTTTAGGGTCTACGAGACAAACGGGCAAATGGCATTGGGAAGCACGGCTCGACAAAGGCTGCACACGAAAGGGAATGTCTCTGCTAGCATCACACCAGACCAGGGACCAACCCTTGTCGTGGGAGTGGCGCCGCTACTAGCTGCAAGGAGAAGCTCAAGATTCGATTTTGGTGAACAGCACAAAGCTATGCCTTTTGTCCAACCGTGGCAAAATTGAACTGACAATGCTTCCGGCCAAAGCTCACGAAACTTGTCGTCGGCAGCATCCTGCGCAGTGATGTCGAACTGCCTCGGTCAAAACCCAACATCATGCGGCAAATTTGAAATGCATGCATTCCCTCGAACACACATCGCCTCTACTGTCCGACAATTTCAAAAGCAAAAATCGCCAGATCTGGAATTCATTGCTGCGAAGCTGCTCAGTGGGTTCAGATGTTGCGAATGCAGGGACGGAGGTGACAAGCATTGCCATGATGTCAACGGCGTATGTACAACTTAGCTCAAAGGTTCCTAAACTTTTCAGCACACATGAGCGCAATGGGTGTGTTCAGACCGTCAAAGGGCAAGCGAGCAGATCTACAACAGGCTCAACGTCTGGCGGCAATCATTCAGTACCCATGCATTTGCATGCGGCTGAACATCTGCACACACACCTGTTTTGCATATGCCTCAAGACGGAACACGAAAAGCTGCGGATACACAAAGACAGGCAGACACACAAAGTCAAAATATAAGGTGCCTCGGCAAATTTGCAACACCTTCTGATTCCGTGAACAGTGAACAGTCGATGATCTGATTGCATCTTGCCAATAATTCAACAATGGCTGCAGGAATGCCACGCAACTGATCGTCTGGATTTGCATGTAACTGAAACTCAAATACCTCAAGACTCAAAACCTACAAACGCACTGAAACCGGCAGGAGAAAATGAAAGCATCCGGCGCGTTGATGTGCAAGGCAAAGACCACCGACGAGCATCCTGCCTCTTTCGAAATCCATCGTTAATGAAAACCGCACAGTGGAACGAGTCGTCGCTCGTGGCAGATGCGAAAACCGCATTCCACTCCAAGATAGCTCGGGGGACCTTTCTTGTGAGTTCTTTCTCGTTCTACTAGGCTTGCAATGCTCTAACATTCGGCATACTCTCAGCTCTTTTGACCGTAATGCATCTGAGTAAGGCATTGGGCTAGCGGGGGGGGGCCTAAGGCCAGAGGCTGGACCATAGGCTAAAGTTCACCCCCCAGCGAGACTTTGTGAAAGCGAGGAGTTAAGTGCAGGCCACTAACTTGGCTCGGAGGCGAACCAAAGGCAATTTTCTGCGAAACATGGTCCATCCAACTTGTGTGGCAATCGAAAACGCGAAGATTGTGGACCCGAAGCGGAGCGAACGAGACGGAGAATGAAGCGAGCGAGCAGAGTCCGCGTAGTAAGCGTATTGAGCGCCGATTACAATGAGCGAAAAGACACCTGCACAAAAAAAGAGAGGAGCTGCACACTGCCAATGTGAGCATCGAAGCTTTCTTTTGCCTTCATGAAGCCTTTCCTGGAAACTGAGGACAGACAGAGCATCTTTTTGTTCTTTTGAGTGTTTTGCTTTGAGTGCGCTCGCCAGCGAAAAAGGGGGGCGCGGCATCTGGAGAGATGCCGCCCTGCGCGGCGTGAAGTCTACATCGTGAAAAGGTGCCTGCTATCACAATTTCAGACCTGTTGCACTTGTAAGATCAGACATTTCACCACATGGATGTGCCCTCAAACACTGGTCATCCATGATGACACAGAAGTTCCTCTATGGCTGCTTGATGTTTCCGAAGATCAAGCGCATTTTCTGCCATTCTTAAGGCAAACTGTGGAACAGCACGTGCCAGCTTTTCTGGACAACACGCTCTGCTCATCGTTCACTGCATCTACCAACCAGTACGGAGGCTTCTATCTATTGCACATTTTCGAGGCATCTGGCAGGCCGTCCGTAGCGTAAGCCTAATGGGATGGAGCCGAAGATTGAGTGGAAAGCCAATCGAAAGATTTCACTTCTACTTTGCAAGCAAACAAATGCGAAATCAGTAGCCCTGCTCTATCAAACTCGCCTGGTTCTTCACTTTGCGAAGACTGGCGAAATGAAAACCTGCTGCAGCACACTCAGCAGAGCCGTGGCATCTTTGGAACACTTGGAGACCGCAGCGGGCCATTTTTGTTGGCAGGATAGCCGCAAAACCGAATTCGCAGCAAGTTGGTTGCAACCCTACAATAGTCCCAGAGGAAGAGGGAATGGACTCTTGGCACACGCAAATCCAAGTGGCGCACGAAACTCCACAAATAGGTTGAAACTGTTGCATTGTTTTGCCTTTTCTGCCACTTATCCAAAGAGAGGCGAGCAAGTCAATATTGAAAGAAAAATGCAAGGAAAAAAAACAAAAAGGCACAAAACAATTTAAGAAAACATGGCGAAGCATTGCATTGATGTAAAGCAGACAACACCAAATCTTCTCGCTCCAAAAGCAGCAAAAACCCGAACTAGATGCGCGGCAACTATGCCACAGCTTCATCTGCACCGACATGACAACTACACGCACGTTCAGCACACCACCCGCGTAGAAACCAAGCAACTTCGGTTCCTTGAAGTTGCTCACCGCCGTTGAGCACAAGCCTCCACAGCTGGATTTCAGCACCTTTTTTACAGGACTAGAAAAAGGAAGAGACCCTCGAATCCATTGATAGTGGTCCGACGATGCACAGCCTTTTTCTCAGCTTTGACGTTTCATCGCTTGCCGAACCGCAAGAAAATTTGCGACCTGTCCCGGCATAAAGTTTCGAGTTTTGGATTAAAAGTGGAAGTGAACGTGGCTGTGGGTTGACCACGCTTCCCACTCCAGCCTTTTCTGAGGCCTGCCGCGTGGGGCGCGGCCTTCTTCTTTCTCAACAACAAAAACACGCGCACCGCACCCCCAGCGATGTTTGCCACTCTTGCCATCGAAGGTCGCGCCAATCTATTTGGTTTCTATCGTTTGTACTTCTGTCTGTCTGTCTTGTGTCTGTCTGTCTGCGTTTCTGTCTGCGATTCGATGCAGCGGCTGCAAGCCACAGCTGCTTAGTTTTGCGCGAAAAAGGAAAACACTTTGCACTCTTGGCCAGACCTCTGCTTCGAGCTTAGAATGATGTGCTTCCTTTTTTCTTGACTTCCTAGGTTTTTTTTG